TTTATTAAAAGTTAAAATAAAATATAAACATTATTGAGAAAATTAAATATCATAGAAACAAAAAAATATACTTCAAATGAAGTAATACAACTTTTTTTAATGTAAATAAATAAGGTAGATTATACAAAAAAATTATACAAGAAATTACTAGGCAAAACATAATAAAAAGGTTAGGTTATTAATAGGTAAGTAATTTGTTCTAAATCTAAATAATAAAAACAAATACTTCAAATCATGTTTTTTAACTTAAAAATTAATATGAATTAAAAATAAAAAGAATACAAGATAATGATTACCACACATAAGTCACATTATATAGGTATATTATAAGCATAATAATAAATATTAATTATACCTATTATAGATATTAGGTACAATATAAAAATGGTTTAGAAAGTAATATTAAGTAAGACTATTTTGTTGCAAATAACATCTACAACACAGAAGCATATCAAAATGTTCATCACTAAGACGATTACGTCTATGAGTTAAGATTTGGATAGCCCCACTAAAAAGTCTTTCAACTGGCGCTGAAGAGGGAATGGATGTATTGAATTTCATAAATACTTGTTTAACTACTGGGAATGAGTCCAATATATTTAGCTCTTTAACTTTTGAATTCAAAAAAGATAAGGCTTCAACACTAGACAAGTTAGAATTTCTAAGGGCCGAATCTGCATTGGTGGATAGTTCACCATTTGAAGAACTATTTTGTGATGAAAAAACATTTCTATAAAWTTCAGTATCACTATCACTGTTATCAGAAATAGGATTTTCATATAAATCAGAACATTCAGAACCAGAATTTGTTAATTTGCATTCATTTATGAAAAGTTCTTTACACAAATCTATGCACCTRAGTGGAATCCAACTACATTTAAATAATGGATGGCTCATAGATGATATAATAAAACTTTTACTTTTTGGAGAACTCAAGTCGAACAAATAACTGAATCTTTTTTCAAGACTAGCAATAACGCAATATTTTAAAGGGCTACAATATGTTAACAATGATAACTCAATTAATAAACGCCTCAAAATAATAATGGTKGGKGCAACAAAGCCTAAATAATTACGTTTTTCTCCCTGTAATTTATCAAGAGCAATTGTTAATGGTTACATTATTTTACAATACTCTTCCAAAAATACCCATTCTGTATTCTTCAATTTAGCTAATTTTAATTCTAAAAATACAAAAGTAAGCTTCTCTCTAAACAATAATACTTTTTGAWTCGCATCAAACGTGGAGTTCCATCTAGTCATTATTGGCACAGGAAATTTAATTTTGCAAATATCAAAAACTTTKTCTGATGCCCCAGTACTTCTACTTAATAGATTCCAAAATGAACTTAATTTACTAAAAACTTGTTTGGAAATATTTATATAGTTTTTATCGGTTATTTTTGCTACATCAGTAGTGGCTATTAAGTTCAAAGTATGGGCACAGCAGGTCAGGTGATCAGGCAAACTAAAATTAGTACAATCAGAACTATTTGATTTATAAAGCAACTGACCAACATCAACATATTCAATATCAATAGGACTGGACAGATTGTTTTCATTATCACTATCAATTTGTGTATCTTCATCAGTGTCTAACTCGTCTAAGTTACCTACATAAGGATCGGATTCAATTGTTGAGCTTTTTGAAAATGTGCGGAATGCTTTGCCAAAGTTACTAGCATTATCGGTTATAATATGGGTGATTTTAGAACTTTTAATTTGATAAGCATCACAAATGTCAGTTATTACATCATTAATGTTCAAATAATTATGGCTACCTTTTATTCKCTTACAAMTTAAGACATATGAAGACCGTTTATATGAAAATTCATCGATAAAATGACATGTCATTCCCATAAAGCTCTTATTATTGGCACTCCATATATCCACTGTACAACAGATGTGTTTCTGTTTCTCAATTAAATTAGTCAACATGGATACATAATTGTCATACTTCACTTGTAATATTTTTGATATATTCTTATGGTTAGGAAGTAYAGTTGAATCAGTAATGCCAGTTAGCCCTTGAATGAAACGACGAAATGACGGTTTTTCACAACAAACAATAGGTCTCATTTCTTCAACTATGTAATTAAACACTAACTCAGTAATCTGAAAAACAAAACACTTAATGTTTAATAAAATAAAAATGGCAAGATTAAAAATAATAACCAAAATATAACAATTGAACTAATAGAATAATATGAATTAAGAAAAGAAATCAAAATAATTAATAACTTTGTAAGAATATTTTCTATAGAGGAGTTAAAAATGTAACAAATGGATGAATGAGTTATATTTCCTAAGTATGCATTGATTGCACTAAGTATTATACTAATATAATATTATGGCATCCAAATTGTAAAAAAAATATTCATAAATTCATAATATTGACAATACTAATAAACATAATATAGATTATAAGCTTATAGTCTGTAAATAAGAATAATAAAAAAAAATATAGGCTTATGTAACTTACTCGACATTTTGTAATACTGGTTTTAAAGAATGGCAGTTGCATTTGTTTATTGGGAGTAATTGTTCCTTCAGCATGTTGAGTTGTCTTTTTGAATAATTTTTTACGGTCTCTAACTTTGGATAGCATTGATGCATGTTTAAACTAAAAATAATTGATTTAATTTTAAAAATATAAGCAATTGACTTCATATGTTATTAATGAAAACTTTAGATTCACATAATATTATTAGGTATCATTGACCTACCATTGACTAACCATAGAAATACAAAATGCATTTATATATATATATATTTTTTTTATATTCTATAATCAATGATATTACAATATTAATACATACCTATTATTCAATAGGTACGTATAAAAATAATATGTTTGTCAAATTTGACAAATTATTTGATCATGTGAACAGGG